TTCTGTAATAATTCATGATGTATTGTGAACCATGGGCACAGGACGAGTGTGTTTGTATATCATGAAAGTTACTTTCGCTGCATTCCCAAGCAGAGGGAGTTATTTCAACTGTATTCACAAGCAGAGGCGTGGCCGTGTGGTAGAACATTTGCTTTTCTCGCAAACGACCCGGACTCGATCACCACTTAGAGCCATACCTTTTCATTTTGCATTGTGTTTGCATCTTTCTCGATTATTCGGTCAGGCACAAGGTGATAATGTTCCGCTCTCAACCAACGGCTCTGACGCCGGATTTCTGCGAAACAAATTTTTTTAACGCTGTTGCGTTAAAAATCTCCGCAGAATCAGCGCTGCTATGGTTGATGGGTATTCATGTTAAGTCCGATTGCCGGATCGATAGCTATCGCCTATTGTCTGGGCACGCATTGATAAGTTCTTTTTTAATGCATTCTTTTCCGCCGCTGTGAAGTTTCTCATTTTTTACTCGGCTGTTTGTGGCGTCTTCATGTTTGCCCGCCCTCTATTTTAGCTTGATCTCTGGAGAATACACCCAACACTACATAGGGAGGCAAAGTCCGTCTTGCGCACAATCCGCCCGCGTGTCGACAGAAACTAAAGCGGCAGAATGTCCATGGTTCCTACCCAAACAGCGTGCACCTCCACAGGAGCTACCCGCACCTATACTCGGACAGCAAAGGCAAACTGTGTCAAACAAAGCCAAAAATTAAAAAAATGCCTCGCACAAGTATGTGCTGTGAGGATGCCCCAGCGTATCGACATGTTCTCCGCTTCTGCGGCGATTGTTTTCAAGGCCCTTTACACCCGCGTCACAGCCCTCTACGTGAGGTATGTCAGACAGCGCTTGGAACCACGGTAGCGTCCCTTTGCGTAGATCCCGACTGCGTCTGCCATCTTAATAACCTCCTGTTTTCTCTTGTGCACAGCCTTACGAATCGAACAAACTATGAAGCCGCGGGGGACGCTATTCGTACTGGTGAGGATGTGAACAGAAATTATTCGATGTCGGCAGGGAGTTTTGATCCATGGTGCAGTGTATTTTCGGATCTAATGTATAGAGAAGCTGTATACAACTTAGAGGTGCGGCTTATAAGATGCTCGCAGAGGCCCCGCCCACACAACCGAAGCGCGGCAGCTGATCGCTTTTGCGATTAAAAAAGCAATCCCGCGCATGCAGGGGGTGATGTTTTCCTCAGGTTGATTGATTGATTGATTGATTTGGGGGGTTTAACGTCCCAAAACCACCATATGATTACGAGAGACGCCGTAGTGGAGGGCTCCGGAAATTTCGACCACATGGGGTTCTTTAACGTGCACCCAAATCTGAGTACACGGGCCTATACAACATTTCTGCCTCCATCGGAAATGCAGCCGCTGCAGCCGGGATTCGATCCGGCAACCTGTGGGTCAGCAGCCGAGTACCTTAGCCACTAGGCCACCGCGGCGGGGCATGTTTTCCTCAGGTGGAGTAACTGACATGGGGCCTATGATGTCAGCCTGGGGTTCGTGCTCATTGGTGAATGCTTGCGTGCGTTCGCCTTTGATGGGCTATTGTTTCGGGCTTCTAGAGTTACATCCGACTAAAGTTCTACAGAACAGTTCTGCTTCTTACGCCAAACTTTAGCTTATTGCGTTTGCTGAGCATGCATATGGTGGAGAGAGAAATGTTTGTTGCGCCAGAAGAGCTAGGAGGTCGGCCTCATTCCGTTTTCTGGCCTGCCGCTCAGCGTTAGGAAACGAGGGGAAGAAAGGTGAGAGAGAAGTTGTTGTCGATGAACATCAGCGCTATATTCTGAAAGCGGTGACCCAATTTTAGCGAGATACAGAACTCGACAAGAGATTGTAAATTGATCCAGCGTTCTGCGTCATCGCAACTTTATTCATCATGAACATGATGGATGCTCCGTTGTATCTGAAGGGGTACATAGAGTTCCAGCACGTTTGTAACCATTCAGCCAAAATTAGCAATCGCTGCTGAATCCCGTAGCATTTATCTCCAAACAGCTGATGCTAGTGGGCGAGTAAATACGGCATAGTCGTATAGCAGTAAATGTTTTTCGTCGAGGCATCACCGGTCGTAGTTCACTAACTTCAAGGTGCGTGGAGGTGATGAGGACAGCTGCAACACCCTGAGAAACGCTGTGACACCCAAATAAATAAACAAAAAGAAAGGTCGACACAACATCACGCGGCTGTAAATAACACGACTGTAGGAAAAGGTGACACCGCCGGAACACCGGAGCGATATTTTAAGACAAGTGCCGTGGAACTTCCTTTTTTTTTTCCCTCGGTTGACGTGTTGAGCCCCGTTTTGCAGCGATGACCTAACGGGTCGCAAATTTAAACTCCACCACGCTTTCCGCGTTTTCTTCCTCCCCCCCTTTTTTTTTCTAGCTTTGGTGGGTGAAAAGACCCATTAGACTCTACGTGTGATGACTCGGTCTTGCCTCGTGTCATGTAGCGCACTCCCGCCGTTGTTTTGGGCAAGTTCCACGAAGCGCGAACATTAATGAAGGAATGCGACGGGGCCGCAATCTCGCCGATTCGATACAGTTTCTTACTTTTTGCCCCAAGCTCAGCCAGAAACTTGGAGGCCTTTCGAGCTTCGGCTTGAACAAAACGCGACAGTGTAATCGGGACTAGCGCGCATCCCGCCTTCTCCATGCATCACTAGCCTCGCCTCATTTCTCGGTGCATGCCTCAACCGTGCTGCTAGAAAACGAACTTCTGTGCGCACGACTTCGACCGTTTCGAACTACCCTAGGTTGCCTACTGCAAGTTGATTTATTGATTGATTGAATGATTGATTGATTGATCGGCCCTTTTATCCCGGCGCAACCCACCATGGGAGATCGGCAATGAAACGAGTGGTGCACGTGCTGAAAGAATTCGTTCATATTTTCAAAATGTTAAACAGTAGATGGTTTTGAAATCAGTTGTTAGAGTACTTCACAAGAAAAAAAAGAAAAGAAAAACTGTATTTAATGAACGTGCTTGATTTCCGTAACCTTTAAAATAATTTCATTTTATTAAATAAAAAAGTGATTACCAAATTTTCGGAAAATATATGTTTGATTCCGATGAATTTGGCACTACAGTTGTCAAGTGCCCGCTGAGCCATAATTCTTCCTTCTGCGAGTCGGCGAAGGACAGCTGTGGCATTGCACGTACGCGTCCGCTTCAGCTGCAAGAGGTGCGGGGTTCGATCCCCAGTGCCGGCCGGCCACCCACCGGTAGCTAAACAGGGTACAGGCGGGCTTCGAGGGGCTGTGACGCGTCATCCCAGTGGTGAAGCTTACTCTGCCTGGAGGACACTCAACCCGTTGCGCGGGACCGGCATCATCACCCACTACGTGTCCGTAAGCAGCACACAGACCTACGCGGCTGTTCACTTAATTGGTGTTAGTAGATGATTAAATGTGTATAAACGCTTTGTAATGGGTAGACCCACTGGTTGCGCAGTTCACATATTTTGACGCCTTCCGCGATTAAACGCTTCTGCCACGCACCATTTCATGCGTGAAGATGATTCGATCTGCCGCTAAAAGGCGTTCATGTAATACTTCTGTTTTTTTTCTTTGAGTAGTTTCACGCAATAGCGTGGCTCATTCCTAAAGCATCCGCTTGCCATGCAGGGAGCCTGAGTTCAGTTGTGACTCAAACTGAAGATTTTCAGGGGGACGCTCCTGAAGGCGTGGGTCACTGGCCACCTCTATTTTAGCTCTTGCAGTGTTCACTAGATGGCGCTACCTGTAGGTGATGAATAGATGCGAGATGTTATAAAACTACATGGCGGTACCTGTAGCTGATAATGAAATATGCGAGATGTTATTATAGGAATGATGTCACATATGGCGCGTGTCATTGGTGGAAGGCAATCGTTCGATTTAGTGCGACGACGTACGCTAGTGGGAGCGTTGTAATAAAATTATAGTTCGCTTTTGGCGCGCCGTGAAGCTGCGCGACACCGCTACAAAGGTCCTGCCGTGCAAGAGCGGGAGGCCCAAGCGACATGGCATATAGACACACAGCGCTTTCGACGTATTTAAATGACTGACTCGGCGAATTACACGGAAGACTCACGATTTACCGATGATTCCCTCCGGAGCTTCGCCCACTCATCGTCATTCACCCCGTGAATGTGCTGGGATTTTTTATTGTTTAATTTATTTGCATCTTTGTCGATTTTTTTTTATCACGGACAATGCTGATTCTTCGCTCACAACCAACGACGCCGACACCGAAATTTCTCCGAAACCATCTCTGTAACACTTTCGCGTTCAACTACTTCGCTGTACGTGACGAGGTTATGGCCAAGGAGTATTTTAACATTTTAATTCAATTGTTTCTGGTGAATCGCCTTTGCAAGCAAAAGACGCGTGCAGCAGTAATTTTCAGGTGAACCAAATAACTCGTCTAGCCCAGCGTTTTTGCGTAAGGTCCACTTCGGTTCGTGTCTTCTGCCCAACTTCGTATTTCGCAGTAACTCTATAGCGCAGTTTTTTAATCAAACAGGTAGCACGCTTCATATCTTAAACATCTATGCAGGAGCGCAGTTAACCAAAAATAACTCCTTTTGATGAACAACAAGCGAAAGAGACAATCCGAGGCTATTTTTGTTCTCTATTTCTCTCCACGTTAAATTGACTCGCAAAATTTTGGCCGATTGTTCTCTGAAAAGTCTGGCTTTTTCTTGCGCCTCCCATTTTACCTCTTGGCAGCTTCCTTCTTCGTCCCCTATCGTGGCTCATACGCAATGCAGGGAATCGGCCGAGTAGTAGGATAATTTTTAAAATCGGTCTAACCACCGCCTTCGTTTTCATTGGTCAGTGCGCACGTTTCTAATCACCGGTGGCGGGTTTAGCCACACCTCGAGGATCCAACCAACCGACCACCAACACGGTGCTGCGGGCGAATAGCAGCTGGAGACTGGTGACGTCTCTCCTTCGAGGCAATACAACACACGGTTGCACATCGCCGAGATGAACATTATCGAGCCGCAGGTCATGTACTACAGACGCGCCACGGGGGATCACTTTACTCTCCTCTTCCTGCGCCCTTTGCGCAGAAGGCCCGAGCGTGGCAGAAGCCAGCTGGAAGCTTTGCTGCGCGAGCCAGACTGGGAGCGAATCCAGTCGCACCTCTTGCAGAAGAACATCTACCGCGAACACCCGACCACGGCGAGCCGGTCTGCCGCTGAAGTGGACGACTATCGGCGCACCAACGGCGTCGTGATTGTCAAAGGACGCGGACCCATCGCCAAGCCAATCCTGGACTTCCAAGAGGCCCTCTCTTTTCCCCGTGGCCTCGTCGACGCCGTCCGGCACGAGCGCAACGGTGGTACGCCCACTTGCGTCGAGGCTCAGTGCTGGCCCGTCGTTCTAAGGGGTCGCGACTTCCTTGGCGTCGTGCAGGCGGGGTCGCCCAAGACGCACGCGTACGTGCTCCCAGCCGTCGCGCACGCGCTAAGCATCCAGCGACCCCACAACGCCGGCGACGGCCCACTAGTCCTCGTCCTCGCACCGTCTCGGGAACTAGTGCAACAGATCCACCGCCTGTTCCACGACCTCGGGAAGTCCTTCGGGCTGCGCAGCGTCTGCGTTCAATCCGGCGTCGCCAAGAATGTTCAGTACGCCGAGCTCGCCGTAGGCTGCGACGTCTGCGTCGGAACGCCGGGTCGCCTCCTGGAGTTCGTGACGGCACAGAAGTTGAAGCTTCTTTCGTGCACCTTCCTTGTCGTCGATGGCGCAGATCGCATGCTGTCTATGGGCCTCGAGCGCGAAGTGACGAAGATCGCCCAGCAGATCAGGCCGGACCACCAGACGGTGATGTGGGTCACCTCGTGGCCGAAGGGCACGCAGCGCCTCGCCGATACCCTGCTGGAGAACTACGTCCAGGTAAACTTCGACTCCGCGCAGCCTCATCTGGTGGGCGTCAAGCAGTGTGTGTACGTCGTCAAGCAGACCGAGAAAGAGCGCGCGCTGGCCGAGCTCCTCGAGGACCTGCTCAGGGACGAGGTCGGAAGGGTTGTGGTGTACGCGAAGACACAGGAATCGGTGCGCAAGGTGGCCTTGCAGCTGCGCGAGAGGAACTGGCGTGTGGTCACCGTTCACCGCGGCATGGCGCTTGAGCAGCGTCTTTGGACGCTGAGCACGTTTCGCACCGGGGGCTCTCGCGTACTACTGGCGACTCACGGGTGTGGCCGGGACCTGGCCTGGGACTACGTGCGTTTCCTAGTCAACTTGGACTTTCCCGTTGAGCCACATTACTACGCAATGTTCGTCAACCGGCTGGCCAGCGTCGCCGTCGAGGGTGGCGAGGTGCATACCTTCTTCACGCCTGACGATAGTCGCCACGCTAGGGAGCTGGTCGCGACGCTACGACAGGCCGGGCAAGCTGTGCCTCGCGAGCTCTACAAACTCGCGAAGTCCTGTGCCCGCGCGGGGCCCGGTCGAAGGGCCAAGTATAGTGACGGCAGCTGACACATTTACAGCTCGGCCATGACACATAGACGTTTCGGCGGTGATTGCGTCCGCTTCTTCCCCTGGATTGAACGGAACCTGCGCTTCTAAACCCTTCGCCAAGTTGTTGTATAGGCGAACTACCGCTCCTTTGCAAGTTTTCTCTGAACGTCACACAATTAGATACCCACAACACGGCCATTGCGTCAAAATTCTGAAAGAATATTATAGCCACTTTTTTATATGCATCGTGTCTTCTGACATTTGTGATCTTGAGATTTGTGATATTTCAAACGATTCAATATTTGCGATATTGCGGCATGAATTAGGATGGTGTCGTTTTATCGTGCAGCATAATAGACATCAAACACTGTGCTTCTTCGAGATGCTAGGTAGAAGACACCTGTCAGTATTTACGGTCACTTTCGAGATCCGCTCAAACTTTTCAGTTTCTTAATGTCCTGAACGGGATGATTGGTCCACCTGAAACTATTTTCCATCCAAGTGATCGCAGTAGAATATCCGGTGGGCTTTTTTTTTGGAAAGCTAGGTATTCTAGCGAAAACAGTCTAGGTTACATCTCTATATGCCACCAGTAGAATCGTCATCGATGTGGGCATACCTCGCTCACCTCTATAAAAGGGAGATGTCGTTATACTCGATGTCGTATGCTGGCAATAAGGCATCTTGGCTGCCCTTGGCGTAAAATTTCCTAAAATTAACTAGGGGCGACTCTGCCGCTGCGATCGTTTAGTGACCATGGGAATTATGGATATGACATGGATTTGCCTAATCTTCGTGCTTGCGGGGGTTGAACGCGCTTGTGCACTGCCTTGATTGCTGTGTTTGGTTTTGTTTCGAAGGAAAGAACAAACCACTTATAACTTCGTGACCTGATTTGAAGTGGTAAGCCTAAAGTATTACAGGAGGGGTGAAGCGTAACAGCCGAACATTTGCTCATTGTTGTTTTATGTCAAAGCAGCTTCAAGCCACGTGAATCTAAAATGGTCGTAAGGTACGAAGACTATAGGCAAATCTATGTCATGCCAGGAATTTCCACGCTTGCTGAAGCGTCATGCGTTGCTGGCCATATACACTAACGCCAGAGTTCTGTCTATAGTGTATAATTGACGAATTTCACGCGTTTCAGAGAACCTATGCAAGCTTCATGTCGGGAAAAGGATTTCCTGGACGTATTTAGAGCGTTTTAGAAGATAAGCAGGTGTCACACAATGCGAATTGCGTTACGCGGGGGGTCGTTGAATGCTTCCCACCCATTACAGTGTGTTCAGCCATAATCCTTTATTGTCAACAGCCGCAGCATCGACAAAATGTGGAAATACCTTACAAGTGTGTAGCGGGTACCACGCTTCTCTAAAGAAGAAGTATAGGAGTTGCGGGTACCACCCTGCTTCACAAAAGTATGACGATTTACGGTGTACGGCAAGTCTGCTTGTTTGTATACTTGCCCCAGAATGTTAAAAAACGGCTCTTGGAATGCCGCTTTTCCAGCTTTCGCTGTTTCTGTGAGGCGTGTTCCGCGCAGACTTGGCGTTTTGTTTTAAGTGTGAATACACTTTATAGGCGACCCCAAACCATCCACCGCCGTCGGCGGCGTCCGCAGTCTTCTCTCTATGTTTAAAAGAAAGAGGACTTGGCGGGCCGCAGCGCTACGCTATACCGAATAAGCCACGGACGCGACGCTGATATCGGTGTCAGTAACGCGCCCTATACCCCCTCCCCCTTCGCTCGCTCCTCCGCTCTCCTCGCTCGCTGCAGCTGCGCGCGCACCCCTCTCTCTCGCGTGCCCGCCTTCTCTCTCAGTCTCTCGTCGAGAGCGGGTCGTGAGGGGGAGTAAAGTTAAAATCCGTTCGCATTCGCCAGTGAGTCAACGTGAACTCCCCCGTGTGATCAAATTGCGATTCCCAGGAACCATTACACCATAAAGGCACCATAGTGCGATTAATAAATATAATAGTGCGAATTAATAAATACCCCTAATAGCATCACCCCGTGTATTCGCACTTAACCATGTTCACCCTCGGGGAAATGCTTGGGAGTTTTTTGTTATTGTTTTTTTTATTTAACTTAGTACCTACTCAGGGGTGGGCCCATGTATCACGAAGCGACGCTACGTGGATCCGCCATCACGCAACGTCACTATGACGTCGTACGCTGCGTCACAAGTTTTTGCAATCTTTGACGCCAGCACATCACAAGCCTTTCTTGCGATGTTCTTTTTTTCCCCATCGCTAGTGTTGACGCCCAGGGTTCGAATCCCGGCAGCGGCGGCTGCATTTTCCGATGGAGGTGGAAATGTTGTAAGCCCGTGTGCTCAGATTTGGGTGCACGTTGAAGAACCCCAGGTGGTCTAAATTTCCGGAGCCCTCCACTTCGGCGTTTCTCATAATCATATGCTAGTTTTGGGACGTTACACCCCACATATCAATCGATCATTCGACCCTAGACGCTGACAAATGCGAATGAGGCCGCGTGCCCCAGATGTGAGGCCGTGATTTGTGGCCCGACGCGACGTGATCGCATGCTGGAGCGTCCCAGATTTTTGATGTATTGTTTCGCTGAGGCCCTGTATAAAGGCGCGCGCTGGTATTGCGCCGTGGCGTGTCCTTGTTACCGGATACTTCGAGAACGTCATCCGATGACCCTAGAAAAGTGGCCGCCTGTTTGCTTTTTTAAGGGCGAAGCTCCTTGTTTAGAAAAAGTTTATTTACAGCATGTACAGAACACAAAGGCTTCATACCATTCCAGTAACAGGGCACATACACTTCGGCACATCTATATTTCACGACTAACATCACTACGTTACAGTGAAGACATTTGCTCTAATATACATGACAATGTTGACATATATGTACACAAGAATTCAATGTAATATCATGATACAATGGTATAACGATACAATAGATGCGATGGAACACGATATGTAACAAATGAAATCATATAAAACAACTCAACGGGCACTGCTTAGCACCAAGTCGGTCGAAAAATGAGTTGTACCCGTTTGTGTTCCACCTTGACGAAAGGGCACGACCAATGCCGCAGAAACTCTTGCTCCCCGAGGAAGAAAAGCTCTTCGGAGAGGAACGCGAGGATCTCTCGTCTCATTCTCCCCAGTATCGGCCACAAGGCACGCCGGCCGCAATTGGAAGCTACGGCCTCACATCGGTTTCTCCAAAGGCTGAACAGCCCCGCAACTATTAAGAGAGCGGAGAAGCGGCTACGCGGAAATCGGCCGTTGGACATGAAAGTTCGCACACCCTGTCCCCGAAAACCAGTATTAACCGCACGCCAAAAAAGGCGGGAAACCACACATTCAAACGTCGCATGTCGATTGGTTTCTACCATGACGCAGTTGGGGCAAGTGGAAGTGCGAACCACCTGCCATCGCTGCAACCGATCTCGCGTGGGGAGCAAGCCCCAGCCCAACCTCCAGACAAAGTCTCTGAGATGCCCTGGCAACACTGCGACAGTTATTGGTTTCCAAGCGCGGTTCAATACATATTGACGATGCTGGGGCACCAAGGGCCGTAGAAGGGCGGCCATTGTGTCCACCACTTTAGAATCGGCCACCTCTATCTCTGGGCACGTAGCTTCCAAACGTCGGTGAAATGCCAGAAGGGCTCGATACAAAGATGGTAATTCAGTTGATTGGGGACCTTTGCTTATTTGGCTATCCGGCAAGAAGACACGTAGCGATGGCCCCAGTGTCTGAGCGGGCATGTCATCATTGCTTAGTATTCGCAATAGAGTGCGGAGGCACAATGTAGAAGCCGCGACAGAAACGTCAGAGAATGCAAAACCGCCTTGATCTCGCGGCTGAGCTAACGCTGGACGCGATAACAATTCTGTGCCACCAGACCAAAAAAATGAACTGATGCAGCTTTGCATTTTCCTGCAGACGTGGAGCGGTGGTTTAACAGAATGGCAAGGGTACCAAAATTTTCCTAGGTACACCGTTTGAGTTAAGTATCGGCGTTCCAAGAGGGGGAATTCGAAGTGCCTGGCTGCTTTGATATCATTTAGAAGAGTTTGTACAACGGATGACCAGATGCTATCCTGTATACCAAATACAGTGAAAGTAACTCCGAGTATTGAAATCTCAGGAGACCACTGTAAAGGCGACGTGATGTTGATACGACCACTGGGGTTGCCAATGAAAAAATACTGGCTTTTAGAAAAGTTTAACTTTGCACCGGAGATAATACCAAAATCATGGAATGTATCAAGAGCATGCTGCAGCGACTGTTCATTATGTACATATAGAGTGATATCATCTGCATATGCAGCGACCTTTACTTGAGTGTTACCGGGTAGAGGTAAGCCACGAATCTGCGGGTGATGTTCAACGGCCCTTAAGAAGGGCTCTAATGCAAGGATAAATAACACTGGGGACCCCACGCGTGACTCCACGCGTGACGGACCCCACGCGTCACTCTAAATGCATGACTCTCACGGGAATCTAAGTAAAGGGTACTTTGTAAATTAGTGTACATCGCGCTGATAAGGTGAATGAACTTATCCGGGAATCCGTATGCATGTAAAACATTTAGTATGTAGCCATGTTCTATGAAATCAAAAGCTTTCTCTTGATCTAATGAAACCATCAGTCCTTGCGCACATCGGCTAATAGTGTATTGAATGATGTCCCGCGTTAACCACGTATGGGTGTGTATTTCTCGGCCCGGAACAGAACAGACCTGGTGGGGAGCGATTAATGTTGCGAGAAATGGACTGATTCGGCGCACCAAAATGTTAGCCAAGAGCTTGTAATCTACATTGAGCAGGGTAATAGGGCGCCAATCTTCTGGTCGCGTGGACATTGGGTCTTTCTTGGGAACTAGTGTTATACGGCCTTTGTGGAAAGAAGTTGGAAGTGTAATATCTTGGAAACACTTGCGAATGACGCGTGACATAGTTGGACCAATGATAGGCCAGAACTGTACATAAAACTCTGCAGGAAGTCCGTCAGGCCCTGGGGCCGATCCCTTTTTCATTGCGTC